GGTACAAAGACCATGTTCTGGTATACGTCTACTGTTATGCCCTGTGGGAGACAGAATTGGTTTGTTATTTGTGTTTTGTGTCATTGTGTGCCTTTTGAGGTCTCTTTGGTGGTTCATAATATTCTCTCTTTTTATCTCTTGCTGGGTGTGCTCCTCTCTTTCTGTTTGTCTTCTCTCTCCTCAGCGAGAGGTTCCGGTGCCTTGCTCACGTTACTAATATCGTCGAGCACATTTAACTTTTCTATTATGTAAACGTTGTATCCATCAGGGTTTACAAACCTTTAACGTCACACGACGTATTATCCTTTCTACTTAAGGTGCTCATAGGATAGGCGTCCTGAATACTGAGGTCACTGGTGTCGGTGCCTGAGTTCTAGGCCGAGCCGCTAGGATCCTGTGGTCGCTGGCCGTCACTAGTAGGGCTACTGAGCCTAGGGTGGCGCGCGCATATATCTGTGGATGTTTTTTTCTTTTAAACCCCTTCGACCAATTAGCCTTTGTATCCTAGCATTGTGACCATATCCTTAGATCTTCTCATTCCTTCCTTCATTCTACGGAAAGGGGCTGTTTGATTCGGATATAAGTCGTGTTTGATCCCGCGAGACTTAGAGTTAGTCGATGTGATATTCGAATAGTTTTCTTCTTGCTCTCTCTCGGCGGTGAGAATTTTGCCTATCCCACAGACGGCGCCGGCTGTGTTTGACCTTCCGACTAAGGTGTTTACCTACGACATATTCTTTTCCGAGACGAGGGTAACATGAAAATGACTCTGAGATCCTTGTTGGTTGTTGGGACGTAAGAACCTTGCGGTTAGCGGGATCGTAATCCTGTCATCGCCATATTACTAAGACAATTCATCTGACCCGCGGGACGGGTAATTCCGGAAACATGCCCACTCTTCTTCTTAAAATTTAAGATAGGACAAAGATGATCCCTCGGTGCACATTCCGTCGGTTCTTGTCTCAATTAACCACCAGGGAAAAAGGATTGAGACCCAATCATGTGCTCGACGTCCGTAAAAACGTTAGTCGGACTTCGCTGACTAGACTGAAGGAACCATGTGGGACCACATATTATTCCCGCAATGTTATTAGGTGCGGAACTGTGCATTGTTTACGCACTACCCTGATGGCGAGAAGAGACGTAGCAAAACTCGAACCGGTTGCGTGATAGCGGACTAAAAGTTACAATGCATCTACCTTCGATCACGCCCAGGAACTTTTAAGCGTAATACACCCCACAATATTCCGTATTATAGCGAACTACGGTTTATATTGTGGTTCTAAGAAATGTCAGGAGTGACCTCCGGTTTAATACGGGAGGTATCAATCATGATAGAAATCTATTAAACAAAGCATCTAACGAAGCCCGTGGTTTCATGTGATTGAAGGTAGTAAAGCGCAGCACAGAATCTGTATGTTTTTTACATCCAGTAGGTGGTCGAAAAATTCAGGGAGCTGCCGAGTCAGAACTTAAATATAAATCTACTAACTTTAAGTATGTCCGACTAATATCCTTTTGATGATAATCAACTTCTATAGTAGTGTCTGTGTTTTTATGTTTACTTTCGATTTATGCTTTACTAGGCGCCTTTTTCGTGATTGCCTCTTCGTATATATCACCACTTGTATTTTTCCAGAAAGTGATGGTGTCGTTCCTGTAGTCTTCTCTTTCGGGAGTCCTAATGTTTTCTGGGGGTGAGTCGGGGTTCGGTGTTATTGACTAATTGACCATGACCGACGGCGAGACCCGTCCTGTGCCATGGCGTCTGTGAGGTCCGCTGATACTGAGACAAATGTAACATTTGTGATATTGGGCTATATAAATAAACATTGATTGATTGATTGATTGATTGATTGATTGATAAAGATCCTCCATGGATGGCAGCTCCGATGGCATGTTCTGTGCAGTTTTCTCCACCCTCTGTAAAGCTACGATTGAGGGCGGTGCAGCTGCCGTACCAGGCCGTGATGCAGTCAGGATGCTCTCTGTGGTGCACCTGTAGAAGTTGCAGAGTATCCTGGAATCCATTTTGAACCTCCTCCGCCTGCGGAGGAAGAAGAGCCGCTGTCGAGCTTTTTTGGTGATGGTGGTAGTGTGAAGAGTCCATGTCAGGTCCTCAGTGATGTGGACACCGAGGAACCTGAAGCTGCTGACTCTCTCCTCCGTAGTCCCATTGATGGCGATGGGGGCGTTAGCCTCCTTCCCTCAGCAAGGACACTGAAAATGGGTCATGGATGGGTCTTCCAGCACGACAATAAACCTTAATATACAGCCAAGGCAACACAGGAGTGGCTAAAGAAGAAGCACATTAAGTGATGGAATGGCCGAGCCAGTCTATCATCTACCTTATTCCCATAGAAAACCTGAGGAGGGAGCTGAAGCTTCGAGATGCCAAGCATCAGCCAAAACCTGAAGGATTTGGAGAGGATGTTCAGAGAGGAGTGGACCACAATCCCTCCTGAGATGTGCACAAACATGGGGACCAACTACAAGAAGCGTCTGACCTCTGTGCTGTCCAACAAGTACTAAGACATGTTTTGCAAGGGGATCAAATTCTTATTTCCCACAGTTAAATGCAAATCAACTTTTATCTTTTATATCATGTACATTTCTGGATTTTATTTTTCATATACTCTCTAAAATAAACCTATACCATTAACTGTTCATTTCTTTATAAGTGGGCAAACTAAAAAAATCTGCATACTGCAATACTTATATCCTCCACTGTATATTGCACATAATTGATATTATTAATTAGTCTTTGTTGTTTGTTGTTATACTGTATGTGTAGGGGTTTACCAGGGACCGTGATGCTATACAGTCTGATCTCTGCAGGAAGGAAGGAGTGTGTTGAAGGATAGGGAAACAAATTAGGTTGAAAGGAGTATGTCGAAAATATAATAAAAAAATTAATTTTTTGAAAATATAAAATAAGTCAGTGTCGAAATTATGGAAAAAATCCTATTAAAAAAAAGCTATAGTAAAGTAATTCGTAAATATATTGTGAAGTCATGGTATAGTAGGTTGAAAAATATGAAAAAAGGCATAATTTAGTATGTCGATATTATCAGAAAAAAATCTTTTTTAGTAGCTCTAAACATAAAGACAAAAGTCAGTTTAGTGTTTCAAAAAATATTATACATACTATATTAATAAAGTCTCAGTATAGTACATTTAAATATATGAAAAGTGTAGTATCTTGAAAACAGTCATAATATAGTGTCTCTTAGCTCATGGCTTAAGTGACATAAGCAATATAAATCAACAGTTTCAAGAAATAAAAACTTCTGAATCACTTTTCACATCCACATTTGTATTGTTTTTTTCATATCCTGGTTGCACACAAAGAAAATGATCTTTGATGTCGATGATTTGTGAGTATTTGATTTTATGAACGTTGCATTGGAGTTGTTGGCATTGCGCAGCAGTAATATCAACTACTGCCATCAAACACAGTAAAAAGTCATTTGCCGGGGCGAAGCTTTCAGTCAGTCCTTTCCTTCCCTTTGCACTACATGGTATTGTTATTGCCTTTCATCAGTGGACAAGCTCAATAAATCATCTTGTTACATACATAAAGTTATAGTATTCAAAATATAAAATGCCAAATTCCAATGAGTTTCACAAGGTTTAATTAGCTGACCCATTTCCAGAAATGGCCTTCAAATGCACTGAATCCAAGAAATATTTTCATGAGAAAAAGCAAGATGGACAAGCATTATGATACCAAGAACAGGCAATACAAAGCGTTAATATGAGATTATCACTGAACTGAAGCAATACAAATGATATAACAATCATTCATTCCTGCACTTCAACTAAAGAATACAAAAAGAGAGAAAAAGTTATATTTTAAAAGCAACACAGACCTCCAGATTAAAGTTTCCACTTGTTTTTTTTTAGTTTGTGATGAGATTCATTACCTAGCTAGCACGCTATAGCTACTCTTTTAGCAACAATGCAGCTCACTGCACTGGGTTTACCAAAACTGCGTTATGTAGAATATTTTTCATGTATAAGTGGATTCTATATTTTTGTGCCGAGCTAAGTTTACTCAAAATATGTACGTTTCTCCTCAGGGTATTCTTGGTTCATTCATTCCTGTCTCTACTTTGTATTACTTTCACATCATCTTTGACAAAAGATAAGCTCTTCGAATTTCTGAGCAATGACCAATATGGTGGAAGACAAGGAATGTTTTTAATGTAGATCCTGTTTTCCTTGCTGAATTGTGTTGCTCAAATCATGTATTCCTACCTAAGATGAACCTTTAGGGGTGCAAATCATTTTCACATTCTTCTGGGTGCAAGGTGTAATTATAAACACACATATAAAAAACTAAACAAAAACCTTGGTCAAAAAAGCAAAGAAAATGAACAAACTCAAAAACCCATCCAAACAAACCAACTTGTCACTCTCTATGTAACAGGTAAACTAAAACAACAGATGGCCATAAAAGCATGTTAGCATGTTGCTAATGCTCATTGACACAAACACATACGTACAAAGATTCAAATACATATTCAAACTGTATGTACAACAACATGTGTACAAAGGGGACACAAATCAAAGACAGGCTCGGTGGGAGATCAGGCACCATATTCAACAGTTTTGTGTTTTTCTGGATTTTCTTTATGTAGGCGGCCTACTTGCCCAAAAGCAAGTTGTATCTCCATCAGGGCGATTATATTACACAGGTGTTGATATGCATGTCTATAGATGAACCAGGACAGAAAAAAGGAAATGTCAAGGTTCATCAGACATGGCTGGACAGCCCATTGCTCAATGACATTCTAAATGTAGGAGCTTATTGAGAAAATGAGTTTACTTGTTGCCATTTGTCCTGAAACATTACCCTAGCTTGTGACACCAATTTTAGGAAAAGACTCTCCTGCTTCCAAAAACCACAATACCTAATTTAGGGAGGGGTCTGGCTAGTAAGAGATTTTAGTTTTTGTCGTGTAAACAAGTGCACGTTAACTCTAGCAACATGCTAACGCTAGATTCCAAATGAGATCTGTCCACTATAAAAACACATCTCAAACAAAGATATCATCTAGTCCAAATTTGAAAAAGGGTAATGTTTTCCCTGCAACCATTTAGTTTAATGCCATCCAGGTGGATCCAACATAAACATGAAATCTGTGTACGTGCCACCTTAGCATCTTACAAGGACAATGTTTAATACAGAGTGGACTGGAATAAAAAATTTAAAATCTCAGTGTCAAAGAGTCAGCTGTGAGCAGATGCATCCTCCTAAGTTAAAGTATAATCAGAATGACAGAGGGAATAATAAGACACTCAGTCAGTGCCTGAGTCAGTTGTGTGTATAAGCCATGTAGGTCATGTAAATAACAGGACGCCGGATTAACAGCACACAACCATTTACAGCATTTGTACATCAACTCCAAGAATCAGGGCCAGGATACACAAAATAAAACTGAATAACTTGAATTGCACTGCACATAAATTCATTTCTTCTACTTCCATTTCACATGGTCATTCGTACGGAAAGAAACCCTATGGAAATCTGAGCCAAAAACAAGGTAGCTTACTGTAAATAAAGGGTACAAATTCTAAAACCTTTAGTTCCTATCATAACAATACAGAAATTCAGACATGTAGAAGAGTAATGAATATATAATAAAACACCACAGTGGAGCCAGTTTGAATGTTAAATCTTCAAGCTTCTCCATATACGCCAGGACATAATGACAAAATAAATTTGACCCGCACTGAAAAAATACTGTGTAACACCTCGAAGCAGCCAACTGTGCATTTTATTCTCCCATCTGCAACATGTATTCATGTACAGGGGCCCTAATGCCGTCACATAAGCAATAATACATTCAGCAATAGTGAAACAAACTAAATGGTTCTTTGTATGAATGGACAAGAAAAGAGAACGTGTGTATTCAAACTAATACACAGTTTATTTCAAATGCTTACGATTAAAACATTTTTTAAATTCAGACATTGGGAGGGAAACAAATGTTATGATGACAGAATGACTGATGTTCTTTCCAATTTCCTGAATGGGTTCCCATGTATTAAATTCACAGAGAAATAACGGTGATCTTTAAATCACAGCTCTCTGAAAACAATTACAACAATACACAAGTTATAGTTGTTCATATTGTAAATGTGTCTGGCTGTAAATGAATCCAGATGAGAGACAGGCTGATCTGGTCTCAAAACACACAGATACATGAGTCAGTTATTTACATCCCTTGTAATTATTGTCAGCCGTAACAGACACCAGGAACTGAATTTAGAGGCGGATGCAGTTTTGACACAAGAGAAAGGAGACTCTCTCCTTAGGACGAGACTAAAGTGAAAATGTCAGCAATTGAAATCTTCCTGAAACTTCTTTGGCTGTAGCATTTGGCAATTCAACAGGGAAACAATTGCTGAGGGATGAATTGCAGTGTGTGGATGTAGAAATGAAGAAAGAGGAGAGTAACAAAAAGTAAATAACTGCATGAGAGGATCTTGTACACACACACACACACACACACACACACACACACACACACACACACACACACACACACACACACACACACACACACACACACCTCTCCTAATGTTTCCACCAACAGTCTGAGGAAATGGCCAAATCAACCAATCAAGTAAGTAAAACGGCGTGTGTTGGTGCAAATACAAATTTAAAAACTACAAAGAAAATGGTTGTGGTGTGAATAATTGAAGCGGGGGAAATGGAAATATATTTGTCTTTACCCCTAACAACGTGCAGGATCATAAAAACTCAACAAACAGGTTGCCAGTTGTGCTTATAATACGTCCTCTCATTCAAAAGCAAGTTCATGCAAAATCTCGTGCCATGCCTGCATGTCTCCGTGTTTGTGCTCAAAAGGCTAAAAAAGATAAACCAGCTCTTATGTGTTAGAAATACACACGTATAGTGGTGAAGGGACTGAAATGCTGTGTGTTGAAATGTCAATTTGAAATAAACAACAGCGTTACACAAGCAGATTCCCATTCATGTGAGTGTTGGAGCAAGGAGACAGACAAGACTATATGTGTGCATGTGCGTGTGCGTGTGTGTGTGTGTGTGTGTGTGTGTGTGCACCACTGAAGACAGCTGGAGGAACAGTACGTAGGACATTGGACGAGGGAAACGATGACGCTGATGTTTGGATGGTTCTGCTTCTAGAGGCTTCACATCTGTTGTGGGCGTGTTCTGGGCCACATGTCTCTCCACACCCCTGAGTGTGTTTGGTTCTCCTCTTCCTCTCATTTTATGGTTGTTTTTTTTCTGTTTTTTTGGTTACAGTGATCTGCAGCTTCTGATGCAAATGGTTTTAGATGCGTTGAGGGTGGTGATGGAGCCGGCCAAGCCTGGTTGTGAAGTCTCGGTAGGAAGACAGGTGGTACTCGTTGAAGCTGGCAGTGTTGATGTTTCAGTTCAGTGGGTCAAGCTCACGTTTATTTCAAGACTTTGGCCAGAGCAGTTTCCATAGAGATTTTTTGCAGATGATAATTGAATGCAGGTCATCTCGCCACAATGTTATGGAGGTTATGTCATACACAGACTGCCCTTTGCATGCCATCCAATCTTCAGTCGGGATAAACTCTTCTTCTGCGGTCCTGGGCAAACTCATTCGCTGGATGGAAACAGGAGAGCTCTACTTGAGATCTACAGATTTCTTCACCAATTTGTAGCACCACAGGGATATTCAAACCAAAACCTATTTTTATCAGTTTCATTTCAATGCATCAGTGGTCCAGCACTGCGACCATGCAGCTAGATCCTAGATAGTCTGGGTTGAGTAGACTGTGCCGACTGGACGTGTCTTATTGGAAGAGAAAGTAGGACCCTCCAGGATTTTAGACGTTCTAGGTTCTGGTTGATTTTCTGTTCATGAGTAGCATCTGAGCTGGGTATGAAATGCTTTGTTGCTCTGGGTTGGGTCTGCTTGGTTAAGAATCTGGCTCTGGGTTAGAGGTTCAGTCAGCAGAGGTAAGAGATTTCAGGACAGGCCAGAATGGGATGTGGTTCTGGTTTCTTGTTCAGTGGGAACTACTACTGGTCTCAGGTCGAGCTTTAGTCCGTGGAGCTCCGTAGAGGGTCACTGATGCTATGTGGTTATTCTGCATCACCTGCGAGAGAGGAATACAGAAAGAGAATGTTAGAATGGATTGAATCACATATTCTGAATAAGGTAAACAATCATTTTAAGTGTACTGCTGTTTGCATCAGGCCTTTTATACACATTGGAACATTAGCTAAGTCCAAAGAGATGTGTGTTCTGACCTCAAAGATCATCCTCTGCAGTCCGAAGCAGAATGTAGAGCCGAAGGGGTTTGTGTTATTAGCGGATGAGGACCTGCCAAACACAAACATGTCATTATTTCAGAGACAGTTTGCATACAGATTTGAAAGAGTACCACTTTCAAGTTACCTCAAGCCCCCAGACTGCCAAAGCCTTAAACAACATCTAAGTTGTAACTTTAAAATTATCTTAGATGTAAGTGGGACACATTTAAAGAAGCAATGGTGCAATGTGACCAGATTCAAGAGCATATGATCGTACCTGTGGAGCACTACGGGTTTTTCCATTGGGTGCCCGAGCAGTTCCTGGATCTGGTCCCACTGATAGGGGAAGAAGAAGAAGACATACTTTATTAATCCCATACAGGTTTACACACACAGGGGAGGACATACGCACAAACAAAGAGGATACATGCACACACACAACATGCTGACGCCAGTACCTGGCGGTAGTTTCGAGGTTAGGTGCCTTGCTCAAGGGCACCTCGGAAGTGGCCTTGGAGGTGAACTGGGTAAATATGAGGTATATGTTCACCTCTCCAGCAACCAGCTCACTCCATTCTTTTTTTTTGTTGGTCCAATCGGGATGTGAACCGGTCTTCGACCCTTCGGTTCCAAAAACAACTCCCTACAGACTGAGCCACTGCCGCCTCAAACCACACTTAGCAGAATATTCAAGAGACACATTTTGTGGCAGTGTACACAAAAAGGCTTGTTTTATCCACTGCCATGCATCACAAGATCACAAGACCTGTACAACAATATTTGTCAACAACAACTACTTTGTAGTTTGTATTAGCTTCCAGGTGATAGTACTGTAGCTAGGCCTCTGTGTACGAAGTATAAAAACATGGTTGATCATCACATTATCTCTGAAGTAAAGAACAAATGCGTTTTTCTCTAAACTAAAAGATCATATAGGACCATATGAATTTGCATCAAGCTAAAGTGAGTCCATTTTTTTAATGTGTTAAGTGGATAAAAGTAATTTCATATGACTGCAATGATATGTCTTCCTCGGAAGTAACATTGGAGGAAACAGAATCAAAAAGTCTTTCATAATATCAGACTTTTATGGATATCAAACAATGGCAATACGGAGAAGATATTGAAGAAAAACCACAGTCTAAATTAGAAAGCTGAACTCTTTGAAGACTCCAGGAGAAGCGACTATGTCCGATCATTACAGCCCCACCACAGTGCTGCGCCACCTTGTTCATTTGCAACAAAGCAACGGCCTCCGGCTAAATGTAACAGTGCTATAAACTCTGTCTATAACTCACCTTGTTGTAGGTGGTTAAGATGCAGTCCTCCGTCTGGGAATCAGCTCCTTCAGGAGTGGAGAGACACAAAGAACAGAGAAAGCAGCAATAGATCAAAAATCGACATCACGCTGGAATCATTCTTTGAGATACATGACTGATAAGGGTCTCACCTTTCTTAATCACTAGAGGAATCTTAAAGTCACATCGATGATAGCTGTGAGGAAAGAGAAAACATAATTATACGCATAGAAAATTCAATCAATGATACAGTGTAAAGGGTAAAAGTTGAGAAACAAATGCTAATAATATGAGCCCTGTGTGTAGATAATGTAGATGATGCAGCATGAGGCTGCAATGTTTCTGTACATTTTCTATTGTATCTACCAATCATTTTTCCAGAATCTCAACCATCTGCATTCATAGTGAAATAGGGGGGGTCCCTTATAGATACTGTATTTTTACATTAGTGAGCCGGATCATTTGGCTCGGCTCTCTTAAAGCGCCGGCTCTTTCGGCTCCCAAACGGCTCTTCATGTTACCACAGTTTACCATGGAGCCTTAGGCCCAATCCAATCCCTCGACCCTACCCCTCCGTGACGGAGTGAACTCCGTCTGTAGCCACACTCGCAGCTCAACGAGGCTCCCTCCTGTCAGATGGAGGGAGTAAATACAGCGGCAAGCTTTGGGACGGACTCCCCTCTCTCCGGCAGAAACAGGAAATGCCGTAACTGTATGTAACAACAGTTTCAAATCAGCATCTCTTTGACAAAAAGTTTAAATGAATAACTCAAATAAAACTCCAAACATCTTTCATTGTGTTTCAAAGCTCTTTTAGTTTTAAACCTGATGTTTATAAGCTTCTTAGTTTTTGCAACAGTCTGTAAATATACACAACTTTATAATAAAATGCACACATTTACCTTTTTCTAGACTAAACACAGGTATGATCCTAAGTTAAAACATATGAGGGGTTGTTAACATCGCAGTTTATCAGTGGATGTTTGCTGGAACTACTTGTTAACAGCTTGTTTGCTGCGGAAACACACAGCGCGACTCCGGTCAGGTAGAGACCGGTCTCAAGTCAGCACCGCTGCAGACTCGCTGTTTGAGGGCTTGATAGCCCACTCCCCCTCCACACCGCTCCACACTCGTAGGCGGACCCTCCGCGTGAACGCGCAAACGGAGGGGTAGGGTGTAGGGGGCGGTTTGGGAATAGGCCAACCCCTATCCCCTTGTTGAAAATAGTTTGTATTTTGTCCTTCCTTTGTCTCTGTCTGTTTGATTTTGTGTCTGTCTACGGTGTTTTGATGTAAGTGAAAATCGGTGGTTTACTTCGATGTCTTAGGCATTGCTTCGGGTCTAGATACCGGGGTTTTCTAGTGGAGGCGACATGTGACACAAAAATTGTAAACAAACACCCTGAGCAAAAATACAACTAACTCTGTTAGGGTCACCGTCTGTTTTAATGAGTAACCGATATTCGGAAGGGAATGTTTATGTAGAAATATACTTTAAAATTAATTCAATGGATACTGCAAATTAAGACGATTAACGCATTTGACGGACTGAATTGGGTTGTTCGTAAAAAGTTTGGAATAAGTCGGTAGTCTTACAAGAAAACACGTAAGTTAGAGTAAATTGTTGTAAGTTTGTCGTGACCACTACTAGTAAATCAATATTCAACGACCAAGTCAAGTGTATATTTGTCTATTTTTCGGTTAAAAGTCAATAACGTCTTGTACTGTTTATTTCCGGTTGTAAAGAGAAATTAGACGGACTGGTATTTTTCTGTTTATTATCGTAATGAACTTTGTATATAGCGTAAATAAGTAGAATTATTAACCACAAGAAAAAAAATAAAATCTACTTCTTAGGTGAGAGCCAGAGGTGTGTTCGTCCAAGAAGTTTACATTGCTGATGAAGAAGTTGATGAAGTGGGAGCCCTTCACCCCATACATTTGAGCCGGAATGAGAAACACACGTAGTCCCAAAGGCGATGCTAAAAAAAGACGGCCAGTTTACAGGTCGTCTTAAATAAAAATGCCTGTTTAAAGCTTGAATGGCGGCAGTACATAAGCTATTATTAGTTATTATTAACACATTCGTCTCGAAAGGCAATCCGTCGTTAATGGCTGATTCTGGCCTATACGACGTACAAATTTTTGAGTCAATTACCCTCAGTAACAATATATATAACGAAGTCAACATATTAGCATTGTCTAGTTTTCAAGTCTAAAGTAAAAAAGTTATTTAACGACGCGAAAGGTGTTTGTTGTATTAATAATGTAAGTTTGTTTGATGAATAATCGACCTATTTCAAATGTAGTAAGTTTTCGAAATGTAATTGAAACCTATTATTGTGTCCCTCTTTTGCGCTAGGAGAGAAAAGAAGAGAGGGAGAGAGAGGACTGTCCGGGAGTTCAAAGAGTACGCGGGCGATTTTGTGCACCGCCCCTGAAGTCCACTGTACGGTCGTCGACTAGACTAGAGAGAGAGCCGCAGTTATGAAGTGAACGCAAATCACGGTATAGCTAGTCTGGTCGAAAGGACCTTAGCCGGAACATGATCTCTCGTGGCTAGTTTGTAATTCTCCGTTATAGCCGTTCTATTACCTGGCCGCCGGTTAGCTCTAGCTTTGTAGGGATCACACGTATGCAAACTAATGGCTCCGCGTCTGTTCAACTATATCACTAAACGACATATAAGTAAAATTAGAGTGGAATATATCTTAAACACAATTTAACGACTAAAGACGGAACGTCACTAAGACGGAACGTCTATGGTTCGTCTCCGGGGACTCAGGAGAACAATTAATAGTTATCAGGAACGTTAATTGTCCCCGTAAGGGGTCTCTGTAAAAAGGAGTCTATTATGTCGATTTTAGAACAATCAAATTAACTACGTGTAGGAGTCCGGGAACTCTTAACCCAGTGTGTCATTTGCTCCTGTTTCGCAGGAAAACTTGAATAGTTTTTTATATAAGTAAGGATCATTCAACTGAAGTTCCACTTTTTATTCAAGTGTCTTCGGGAATCAAGATGTTCTATGCGTAATTTGAAGACAATTCGCGCACTTTTACGCACACGAAACTTTCTGCAAATCCTTCTTCAGACAGATAAAGGTCATTTATATACACTAATAACAGAGCTTGGTATAGCACACGCACAAACATAACTAAAGAGACAAATAAGAAAGTACAACCACCCCATGATTTAACGGCGTTTGTAACACCTCTTTAATCGGAATTTGTACAAAATAATGAGACATACTTCTCTCTTCGGTCAAGACGTACGCGTCCTCTGATCTTCTCGACCCCTCCTCTGTAAGAGGTAATCTAATGTCGTAACTTTTATAGTCCCTCTCCAAGGATATATAGATACTTTATATACACACGACAAACTAATGACGATAGTATATTATCGATTATCACATTGTTCTTCGACCCTTTATCCTCTTCACTTTGAAACATAAACACATACATAAGTACTAGAACACTCACTCTTGAGTAAATGTGGGTCTCCCTATAAGAACACATCTATTGTAGAGTTGACGACTTTCCGACGTACTGTTTACTCCACACATGAGTATGACGCGGAACACATTTTCAAAACTGATAAACTTTTCGTAGAGATCCTGGACGAACTCTCGCTTTCGATTACAAAAGAGCAATAATAAACTATACTTGAAGCATTAAATTTACATAATGCATTATAAATCGGGTTGATATTGTGTGCATATAGAATTTTGTATAAAAATTGAACACACACCATTGTGTGACCTAACGAAACTTAAAAGGAGTCAATTAGACTGGGTAGTCTTTCCTTGCGCCGCGCTCGTCTCAAGACGAGGTTGTTATAGAATATACACCAACAAAAAATAATAATAATACACCAACAAAAGAACAAAAAAAGAACAAATTCTTGAGTAGGTGAATAAAAATTTGAACACAATAACTCAATAAGGTGGCAAACTAATAGTTCGTCTTATAAAAAAAAAAAATTCTTCGGCCTTACTTCAGAACCTGCTTTTTTTTCCAACGACACAACTAAAATGAAATTTAACAACATTTTACAACTTGTGGAGTCGAGCAGGTATCATTACATGAAAACGCTATCGAACGGTTTGTACCAACACCTCTGCGGTCACTTCTACTCGCGACTTCTCTATTATCTACTCTCTCGCTCGCTTCTTTTTCTGATCTTTCGTCAATTAAATTCAGCTACTAGAATTTTTTTACTTTTTTGGTTTTTTGTGTGATGTTACACAGAATTAACGGTACACCGTACTTTATATCGAGATTGTACACAAAATGCGAACTCCTAGGGATAGCCATTATATGAGACGTTCGATTATCCTTTACATGTAGTCGGTTTTTACACGGTTTGTGATAAAAAGTTATAGTTGTAAATGTATAGACAATAAAGGACGGTCATATAAGATATAAGATCAATAAAAATCTAACAAAGCAGTGTAATTGACTTTATAGGACAGTCACGCATTTCGAACGTCGGGAGACGAGTCACTGGTCGACCATTATTACTTACACCTCACCCCCGCATCAGCGAAGGTTGATGCCGGGCGACGGGACAAACGTCCATCTATCCTGACACTTACACGCATTTCAGACGGCTTTGTACACGTTTCTGCCATAATAATTTCTACAAAAGACCCAAACAAACAAAGTCCTCTAGGAACACCACTCGCGCATCGCTCTGAGTGGACAATTCGTTCAAACAGGAAAGTATGGTGAAGGGGCGCTGTAATGTGTGAAGGTTAATACCATTCTAATAGAGAGTCCAGGATCGAATGGGTACTAAGACACCACAAGACAAAAAGGCCAACACCTAAGGAGATGTAAAAACCGACCGGGTATTACTTACCGTCTTTATGTAAGACCTGACATAAAGTTTGCAATTAAGTAACATTTAGTTGCTTAATTATTTTAACCTTTATATCACCCAAAATACCGTGACCGACATAAATGGAAAACCTTTTGATTTGTGTTATCCGGGAATGTTAAATTAATATTGATGGTATTAGGTAAAGTTCCTATTAAATTTATATAATAAACAAGTTTATTGTATGTAACACTTTCCATAAACCCTTTTACAATTCGGAGATGACCACCAGACGCTCGTTCTTGGATCTTTATATTTCACTAAACTTTGATTAAATAACAAAATATATATATATAATATATATATATATATATGTCACCCCCCCGTTTTTTTTACATAGAAGTCAGTCGGTGGTTTAAACACGTTCAAAGGAGGGTTGAATTTTTCTATCTCCCTCCGGACACTCTCTCTCGGAACAGTAAAAAAGTAGGAATCATATATGGAGTTGATACTCTCTTGTTTTACTTTCGCCTTTTCTTGTTTAAAAGGTTCTTCCTTTAGGTGACCAAGAACCTAAAATTTCCTTAAAATAAACGTTTAATAACAACCTTTTTATTCATTAAACCAAGTATAGTGTTTTCCAACGTACGAGTTAATGAACAACATACAATATTGGGGAAACACCAGCCGTTTCCGCTCCAAGGGTTTGCCAAAAGACATTCAGGAAAATGTTCCAAAAAGTGTTGTGGATCAACGACGATAAAACCGGGTAAGGAGGTACGTCTAGAGGGAGATCTTCGTCACTACAAACCCCCACCGACAGCGACCCGTTGTGGTCTGAAAGTTGAGGGAAGGTTTCTAAAAGATTACACCCCAACTCTAGACCTCTCGACCCGAATCCGGTGAGGTTTCCTGGAATTTTACGAAGAAGTGTTTCGTGAGGAAGCAACGGGCCCGCACACAAACCTAGTTACAAAGTAACGACTTTCTGGGTCGGTGAAAAAAGTAGAAAGGTTAACGGGAACGATCTACCTTCTCTCCAAACAGGTGAGTTTCAGAGCTCTTAATGTACCGGGGTAAGTAAGAAGGAAATATGTGCTAGTCAGCAGAGGACCAGGGAAACGTCGTTTTTTGTCGGGGTTTTCGTACTACAAAAGGTGGGGGTCCAAAGTGTCCATTCCATACCACAAGAAAACCCTACGCGTATGAGTCGTAAGAAAGAAGGAGGTTTGTTCAGATCACTCAAAAATGGTTTTTTCAAGATAAAACCAAAGTAGACTGGTATACCTGTAAGAGGGTTAAGGAGAAGACCCTAGTAGATTTACGAAGAAGATCGTTTGAAGTCTGCCCGGACCTTGTATAATGGACCGAATTCGTCAGCCCTGTGCAAGACCGTGAACGTCCTAAAACTCAGGGACGCGGCAAGGCCCACACAATTGACTACCATCGGAAACAATGAACCCAGGGTCGAGAGACGTCCAAGTAACTGATCAAAGGGGGGGGCAACACCAGACCTAAAAACGAGTGGCAAAGAACACCTACTAAAACTGGGGTTGCCCCACCTTCTGGAACGCACCTCCGGGTTCTAGCTCCCTCTAATAGTCACAGACACCACACCAGAAGGTAAAAGATAATTACGAGGGTGTCAACTAAAGAAGTGGATGGTTCGACGAATGGATAAACGTCTAAAGTCAGAAGGGTCGGACCACGTCCAAAGATGTTAAAACAAAGACCACAGGAAACCTGTCGAAGAAACCAGAACCCGGTATCACCTCAAACCTTCACACTGACAAACTCCAACACCTGTCAACAGAATATGATATTGTGTCAAGTTTGTCAACCGGTAATTATGTCCAATTGTGTTCACCTCCTTGGTCTCCTCCGAGAAATTTCTTCTTTCAAATGTCCAGACACTCTCGGTCTTTAGAACAAACAATCCAACTGTTTATGAATAAAATGACCTCCTTAAATTGGGTAGTTAAGTAAGGTAAATTTTTTAGGATGGTTACACTAAAGGACCTAACAAAGGGGGTAAGACAGAGAGTATCAACTTCAGTCGCAAAGGCGGTCACCCGGCAGAACGACCAGTAAAACTGCGGGAATAAGTCGAGCCCTGCGGGACTTGAGCTCGCTCCCGCAGTTTTTTATAATTATTAAATCTCTTTCTAAGCTCTCAAGAAAATAGCGAAACTTTACATGCTTTTACCTCTTTTCCTGTAGGGCTGACAACCTCCCGTTTCCTCAGACCACCCTAATAAAAGCCTTCATAATTTCTAGTAAAGGGGCTGTAGCTTCCACGGAACGATGTCCTGTTTTGCCTTGCACCGCACACTAACACTGCGCTATTCGCCCCCCAAAAATCACCTCCGTGCGCGCACTCGACGCTCGTGGCCTCGGAGCGTCG